TGAACGGTTGCAAGTGCAGTCTCGGGACATTACGCCATTTTTCCCGCAACGGGAGCAGAATAGCTTTGCAGTGCCTCGACACTCGGTTCTAAAGTGTCCGGTTTCCCCACATCTCCAGCAAAGCTGTCTTGTGGTTCGGTCATCTGCGTTATCGGACCTACGGGTTCGGTTGCCAAATTCCCTTCGATTAGGCCTTTCGGTTCGGTCTGGTGTACGGGGTTGGGTTACGGAAAGACCAGCTGGTGGTGAATTCGCTCTTCGGGAAGTGAACGGGGCGGCCTTTAGCTCGGATAGTAAACTTTCAATTTCCCTTACGGTGCGGGAAAATGAAACCACATCGGTGACGTCACTTTTGCGAATATGCTGGCGGTAGTCGGGTAATAGATTCCTGTACAACCACTGAAGTTCTTGTTCTGGAGTTATGCCACCGTGCCTTCTGATAAGCGTCTGTAGATCGGTTATATAACGGTGCGGCGGTTCATGCGGTTTCTGAAGGCGGCGGCTAATTTCGATTTCTAAATCGGCGGCATAATTAATGGGAAAGTAAAAACTTCGGAAATCCCGTAGGAACTCGTCCCAGGAATTCCAGTGTGCTCGGTTATTTCGGTACCATAGGGATGCATCCCCTTGTAAAATTTCGGGCATGTGTGGTAATAAACGGTCTATGGCAATCCCTTGGGAGGCACAAATTTCCTGGAGCCTTTCGATGAATGTCACTGGGTCGGTTCGACCATTGAAATTGACATTCCATTTCTGCACCTTCAATGGTATTATCGGAGATCCGGATGTGACTGGAGAAGACAGCGGTCGGTGAACGGTAATAGTCGGTAGCGGCGGATTAGGTATTTGAGTTGTAACCGGCGTTCCAATATTTGCGGTACTGGTTTGAGCCTGGACAGCGGTACCACTTGCCTGCGTTGGATGCATACTGGCAAATGTCGGGAAGATGAACCCTGTCATAGTAGTCGGTGCTGGTGAAGCCTTTCCCTGGCGATAAAATGTTACCAGTCGCTTCTTCAACGTGTCAACGGTACCCGTAGTATCTAGTCCGAATTTATTTAGTTCCGCAGTCAGTTCATCCTTCTTTAATAGGTAGACAAAACCAACACGGCCATCGTTGGGATCGTACCAAGCGGGGTAAGTGGTTATGGATACACTAACGGGCGGATTCACTGGACTGGTTGTCACTACGGTAGAGGCGGCGGTATTCGGTGTACTAGTAACTGGTGGGTTGCCATTGTTGCCGGTGCCTCCTGGCATCGTAATTTGGTCGGTAAACGGTAGCGGAAGATAGACTAAGGGCTCAAATGACAACGGCCTTCAGCGGCTAGTTAACAGCAGGTTCGTTAGCAGGCTTACGGTTACGGTTACACTCGGCGGTACGGTACGGTTAAGATTCGGAATGTTTTCGGCGGCGGTCGGAAGAAAAAAATAAAAATAAATAAAAATATTCAGGTGGACGGTGGCTCAAGACTGACCAAGTGATCAGGTTGACGGTCGGACGGTAAGTGTTTGGAAAATATTTCGGTGAACGATTGAGTCTAGAGTGGCCAAGTGATCACCTCGACGGTCGGGCGGTAAGTGTTGAAGTGTTCAGCTTGACGGCCTGACGGTAAGTATCTGAAAACTATTCGGGTTGATGGTCGGACGGTGAGTGTCTGAAGTGCTCAAGTGATCAAGCGATCAGGTTGATGGTCGGACGGTGAGTGTCTCAATCTCGCGTAATCGTCTTGCCATATACTCCCTTGCGGTAGTAGGGAGAGGTTCGGCCACCAAAAGTTGGTGGGGATTTTTACGGAAAACCTCGGAATTTTGAGAGATGTGGCAACCTCGGCAAGATACAGTTATTCCCTCCAGGGAATTAGACTCGGCAACCTCGAATTAGTCGGAAAAGATGTGTAACTCGGTTTGCGCATGCGCAAAATGAATCGGGCAGAAAAGGGGTTCCGTCTAGGTGGATCGGTTCTCGGATAGCGCAACTTCGTTCGGGCGGAAAAGGGGTTCGGTATAGATTGATCGGTTTTCGGAGAGTGCGGCTTCGTGAAACTGGCGGCGGACGGTTGGATTGTGTCTCACTACATTAGGGAGACTATTTACAGATGGAGAAATTGAAATCAGCTACCGTGGATTACGTGTAAAGGAGCGGATGCTCAGATTTTGGCCCGCGCATGCGTGCACAATACTTCCCAAAACGGAGGACTTCGGTCCAATACGGTACGGTTTACAGGAACTCTTTTTCCACGGTCGGACGGCATTGGTTAAGACTCTCAGGTCCTGGGGCGGATGATAAGGCACGCGCGGAACTGTCCCAAAAGGAGCGGTTTATTTGCTCCGGCGCTATGCGGTCTAGCAATCACATAAAGAACGGTACGGTAACGGTCAGACCTACGGGTGTCGCCAAAACAAACGGCCTCTCTGTAGAAATGGGGACTGCTGATGACGTAATCAACTCGGTCATGTGCTGAAATCATGGACATGCGCAGAACGGTCCCTGCTCGGGCGCCAAATTTGTAGCGCTACTTTGGTTTTCCAGGAGGAAAGCGGTTGATTTCGGAATTTTCGGAAAACTCGGGCGCCACCCTTAGGATTAATGTGGTTAAGGGCCCACGTGCTCTAGGTAGCTTTTAAACAGTGGAGACGGAAAACCAGGTGTCCCTACGCATTTCCCAAAAATGAAAAACACACAATCCAACCAAGAAAGTAGTTTTTATTGACTATCCAATAATTTATAATACAAAAAGAAAATGCAAGAAAACTTAATTAAGATACAGGTTTTATAAAAGGAACTGCTAAGCGGAGAGTGAGGGGGAGCGAACGAAGTGCGTGTGCGTGACGGATTAGTCGCGTGAATTTAACGATTCGAGATTACGGTACGGTGACGGTTACGGTAACGGTTAATCGGTAACGGAAAGCTCCAGGAACCAGGATCGGTCCAGTATCTACACCGTCAGCTGGCAGGCTTAGGCCTTTGGGCCTCGTGCGCGAATTTCTTACTCCGAGCAGAATGCAGGTCAGAGAGAATAGGTGTGAAGAGTAAAGAGCACTACCCTGGTCGTATCACAGCCCGTAGCCCTATTTACTCTGTCACGGAACGAACGGAGCTGCCCTGTTTATGTGTTCCAGCCCGCAGTTCCGGTCACTCCGTGCACAGAAGAGAGAAAGAAGAACTGTGTAGAATAAAGCGCGCCACCCTGATACCAGCCCGTAGCGTGCGTTATTCTGCCACGGAATGAACAGAGCTGCCCTGTTTATGTGTTCCAGCCCGCAGTTCCGGTCACTCCGTGCACAGAAAAGAGAAAGAAGGACTGTGTAGAATAAAGAGCGCCACCCTGTCACCAGCCCGTAGCGTCCTTTATTCTGTCACGGAAGGAGCAGAGCTGCCCTGTCCGTATTCCAGCCAGCAACTCCGTTCAACCCGTGTACAGAAGAGAGAAAGAAGAAATGTGTAGAATAAAGAGCGCTACCCTGTCACCAGCCCGTAGCGTCCTTTATTCTGTCACGGAAGGAGCAGAGCTGCCCTGTCCGTATTCCAGCCAGCAACTCCGTTCAACCCGTGTACAGAAGAGAGAAAAAAGAAATGTGTAGAATAAAGAGCACTACCCTGTCACCAGCCCGTAGCGTCCTTTATTCTGTCACGGAAAGAACAGAGCTGCCCTGTCCGTATTCCAGCCAGCAGCTCCGGTCAACCCGTGTACAGAAGAGAGAAAGAAGAAATACCTGCCTTCTTACCCGTACTTACATTAAACGGTCGGCTAACATCTGGCGTCGCGGCACTGCTGACGGCGGCGGTACTGGCGGCGGCGGCGGTGGTTTTACCTTATCGGTCGGCTGCGGCAGGTCGGAGCGGTCTGGTAGGTCTGGTCGGTTTCGGAGCTCGGAGAGAAGTGCCCAAACGCAGTGCGTGCTGCTATATTTATAAGCGGGAGGCACCGCGTCATGTCGTCGTCGATCGGCAGCGCAGATATCAGCGGTGGGGAATTGAGTTTTTGAAGCGCGTCGCGCACGTCGGTTTGTACTGGAGAGTGCTTTGCAACCGAGGTCACGCGTAGCCACAAAATATCAGTAGCAAATTAATTTAATTAACGGAAACGCGGATAAATTAGTAAAAATCTAGTAACCTACGTTACAAATGTTTAATTTTTTTCTTTATTTTTTTCTTTATTATATATTTTATGGTCAACTAACATAATTGAATGAACCTTTACTGATATGACATTTGGATATTTTAGATTTTATTTTCGCTTTCTTGACACCGATGTGATAGTGGAATAATTGCTTTTATGGATTTTCGATTTATCTAATTTATCATTGCTTAACTTTTAAAATTGCCATATTTTAGTAATGTAAATTTTATTATTCATAATCAATAATCTGAACTGAAGTCAAGGTTGGACAACATGCTCTAAATTTAAAATTATTGAATAAGTACATACATCATCGAAAATTGATCAATTTTTAACCCTGGGCCCTATAACTTATATATCTGAGGACAATTTTGCAAAATCGTTTCTATTTCTTCTTGGGCTTATTCAAATCCCAAATTCAAAATCAAATGTTGCATCTTTGACCTACCATCATCGGCTTTTCACCTATGCACCTGGATTTTTCATTTTATTTTTAGATGCCTAATAAGCTTTTAAAATATTTGACCTCGCGCGCATACCCATCGATAAACTATAATTTTCTGGGAAAGTATTACATTCAAAAATCTTTTACTTCAGCCATAAATCAGTCTGAGAATTAATATAGAATGCAGAACATAATTTTTTAAAAAAATATCATTTTAGAAACTTAATTTGCTCTACCAGAAACTTTAATACAGTAGGGTAAATACACCGCAGACCTAAGATGAAATTTATTATTTATGCATAAGTATATTCCGGCACGGCAGAGGGTTCTTTCCATTAAAGTGATTTTTAACCAGAAAAAATCGTTTCGAAACGAGAGGAACACTAGAAAACCCGTTTTAGCTCATCATCTATCTAATATTGTTCACATACCTGAATATACTGGTTTTAAAAAAACTTGTTTAGTTAGATTGTGTCCAGATAATGTTTTAATTCTCGCCAATCTAGGATCATCATGGACCTGCAACAAGGAAACATTTTATGAATAATTTTCAGACTAGGTACCTACTCATAGTTTTCGACTCCTTTTTTTTTAAGTAAACTTGCCCATTTTCGATGCTTGATCTAGATAGTTACCCTTAACATTTTATACGATTAAAGAAAGTATCCAAAGTAACAAACCGGACAAAATAGAGTAGGTAACTCGTATTTATTTGTGCCATAAAAATGGCCCAGTTGCAGTTATTATAGTCATAACAACTCCAACAATATGGAATAATAATAATAATAATAATAATAATAATAATAATAATAATAATAATAATAATAATAATAATAATAATAATAATATACTTCATCAACCCCCTACGAAATCTTCAGAGGGATTGAACTTTTTACAAAAAAAAAAAATCCTATATAGATACATTCTACAAAGTTATCATAACTACATAATAATATCAGCTTTCAAAGTAATCCTATCAGGATATAATTCGGAAGGGTCCAGAATAAAAAGAAATGAAAAGTAGGTTAACTGAGCGCCCCACATCCAAGCGCCGCTGACAAGTTTCAGAGACAAAAGGCTTTTAGCCCGTTCATTTTTTAATTTGCTGTCAACCAATTTGGTATTGGAGTGGCCAATACTGCTATGTGGACTTCTGACCCACATCGGAAATTCGAATTAAATTGAAATTTGTTCATTCAAATCGAGCACAAAAGAAACTATCCTCGCGACTATTCTTTTGAGATTCCTTGGATTTTTTGTTCCTAAATAGTGTCTCATTTTCGCAACAGTACAAAATTATTTCGACATTCAACCTAAGGTCGCATTATGAAATGTTTATTTAATAAAGACCAGTCACAAACACTCGTGTCAAAGTAAATACCAACACGGTGTGTAATAATTGTGTTTTCTGGTGGATAATTAATTTTGCCTCTTTGGGCGATAAAGTTCGGATTTTGGGACAAAATTAACAAATCGTTGCCAGCAAGGCAACAATTTTACTGATTTATAATTTTTAAGTCAAATTATTATCTAGGTACTTTGTTACAGTTGTTAGAAGACATACACATAGGTATATAAGATTAGTGTCAAAAGACGCTTCAAACGGTCATTTTATTTGTCTTAACCCGTGAATTGTGATATAGGTGTTGCCAGGTTAATTTCCTATTAGATACCTCAATTTTTTCAAACTAAATAAGACATATCGTGTCATTTTTGGATTATTCGTTGAAATCTTGATACAATTTATTGAATATTATGCATTTAACCTACTTCTAACTGTTTGGGAATTATTTTCAGTTAATCAAATGTCGCGCAAAACCTCATTAAATGCCAAGTTTTTTCCCTAGATATTTGAACTTTTTTGAAATTTTCAAATGAAACTTCTGGTAGTACAATAAGAATATTACGCTAAGTCTTGGCCGTTGACTGTTTAAGGAAAAATTTTTTAGAAAGCTAATTTATATTTGAAGAAGAAATTCGTGGGTTGGGAGATTAAATCTGTACAGATTTAACCGGTGTTTACTAGATTTAATCGGTGTTTACTTGCTCATCCCCCAACTCAAGAATGGCACGAACTTATTCGTCAAACTTTCTTCAGGATACGGTTTACAAAATACTAATTTATATTGTTCCTAATGTTCTACCTACAGCATCTCCTCAGCGAGTTTAATGCCGCGCCATCGGGCTTGCAAGGCGTACAGAGCAAACGCGGACGCCCTTTTTAAGGGGTGCCTCAAAAACTAATCACCAAGATTACCAATTACATATTACTTATATGATATTTATACCAGAAATAACAGCAATAGAATATTTTTTGTCCTTAGGTAGGTACTTACCTCTAAACAAATCACTGAACACAGCACCCAGAGTGGGAGCAACATTCAACATTCGATATTACGTCCAAAAAAAAAAAAGACCAAACATGTTTTATTATGACCAAAGAGATGGTGTTATTCTGAATCCTGAAGCTAATTCTAATGTTGAATTGTTATTGGATCAAACATTACCATCTCTTTGCAGCCAGCAGGTTTGAAAAACCCACATTTAACAACATTTTTGGTTTTCTTGCCAACGTAAGAAGTCACTCGGATGAAGACTTGCTGAAATACTGCAAAGATATACATCTAAAACTATCTCGATAAGAGTCAGACATTGACGAGATGGAATTGTTCGATGAAATAAAGGCTTTGCGCTAACATTTTACAACACCGACTTTAAAGGACCTTCAAATAATCTCGCAATATATTTTTGGAAATGATATCATATCGACGTTTGCAGATGCAGAATATAACTTACGTTGCTGGTTTCCAGTTTCGGTGAGAGGTCTTGTGGTAAGTTGAAAATATTAAATAATTATGGCATGTGAGTTTACAATGGCACAAGAAAGATTCAGTTATTTGGCCATCATTTCAACCGAGCATGAAATACTGAATCCATTAAACATGTACCAAACTATATCAGAGTTCAGTTTTTATATTTTTTTATGGACTATTGTATTTTGTATTTTTTTTGTATACATGTTACTATTAGTTATTAGCTTACTCATTGGAACTTTTAGTTTATCTTAACTCTCCCTCTCTTTTTCTACAAGCTGAGATGCTTTAGGAAGTCTAATACTACAGCTTGGAAATACATGGAGATACAGATGGAAATGAACAGGATTAATTGAGATTGAGCTGAACGGAACAAACAAGTTTTACAGGTCCTAGTTTTTAGTCTAGCGCTGTCTTTTTTTTTTTAATTTGCTGAGGTACTTTCCAGTGAATGACTCGATCATCGCTTTATTCATGGGCACTTTATCATGAATGACGATGTAAGGCCTGTCGCTGCATGTTTCTCCAGCGCACTCATCACAGATGCATTCAAGGTCGCCTTTCCTGCACTCATAATTTATTTCGCAGCTAGCCTTTTGCAGTTACAGCATACAACGTAGAGGAGATGATTGGGGCGCTGGAGGCAACATTGTGGATGTTGGAACGTGCTGGCCATTATCTACTGTCCAACCCTAAGATGCTTACCCTCACGCCTAGATTTGGAGATTGATGCACGTAGAGGTTGTGGTCACGTGATGGACAGGTCGGTGGAAGGGATGCTAGAGCAAAGACGTAGTTTGGCAGTTTTTTCTCTACTATTTATTTGCACTTACTTTTTGAACCCTGTTTTGTCCAAGCCGTTTTCGCTCTTCCCTCCGCACAGCTTAACGGAAAGGCATTATTATTTGACTTATCAGAATCAAATAAGAATTATGGCGCACGGAACTCATTTCAATGGGCAGGTGTGATACTTTGGACTGCATACATAAATATGCCAATGATGGCCTATATCATTTGCCTAAGTTTTTAGAATTTTGTCCACAACAATTTCAAATGAAAGTCAGTTTTTGGCTTATTGGACGTTAATTTAGTATTGAAATCAATGCCCTTGATTGCATTGATTTCAATATTAAATTAACGTCCAATAAGCCAAAAACTGACTTTCATCTATCATTTGCCGTCGTCTCCCAATTGCTGATATCGATGGGCACTTTGACATATTCTCCAGAACATCTTTGGATCTTTGTAGCATTTTTTTTCGACCTCCTTGATTTCGTTCTTTCAGTTGACTGTAAAGGATCTGTCGAGGAAGACGCGTTTCGAGCATGCAAACGAGGAGACCTGTCCAGCGAAGTTAGTACTTAATGATGAGGACTTCCATGATAGTTGTTTTGGCCTCCTAGTCTTCTAAAACACTAAAATTCGTTCGTTAGTCTTGCCATTTAATCCGTAGGATCCTTCTAAGACATCGCTGGTGGTGTTTTTCTAGGCTTCTTATGTGTCTTCTGTGAGTGGTCCGTGTTTCGCAGCCATATGAAAGTGTTGGTATTACACTGCATTGTGGATGCGAATTTTGGTCTCAGCGCTGATGTCGTGAATGTTGAAGACTCTCTCTAGGAGTCGTCCGAACTCCGCGCTAGCACACTTCAAGCGATGTTGGATTTTAGAGTCAATGGTTGCATTCGCTGACAGATGGCTCCCAAGGTACGGATAGTGTACAGTGACTCTATTAAACCACTACAATCGCCGTTGTTGACCCGTTTCCACAAATCAGCAGAGCAAAACTCGGCATTGCTAGAACCTACGATTATTTTAAGGATATAGGTATTAGGTAAAAAAATGATATCCGCCAGTCGTTTCTGATGAACACTTATCCTCCCTTTCAAATACCAGTTTGCGAAGTGCCCCAGGGATCAGTCTTGGATCCCCTGTAGTATTTACTATATATGTCCATACAGTGACTCATTAAACCACTACAATCGCCGTTGTTGACCTCTAGGCCGATTCTCTTGTATATGCATGGTCGAATACATTGATGAATGCCTGAAGATCTTCCTCTGTATTGACCATCATAACGTTATTGGAGTTCAATTATCGAGGTCGGTACTTTCGTCTTGGTCTTAATCAGAGCCCGGATTCTATTTTACGACTCGAGTCGAATTGTCTGTTATGACACTCGATTTCGAATACGACAGCTCCGGACGTACCGTGTAATACGTATCGAAAAATCGAATAGAATCGCTATTTTGACAATAATTCGATACGAATTTCGACTCGACTCATAAAATAGAATCCGGCAGCTATTTCGGTTGAATAAGCCATCAAGTGTATACAGGATAAAGTTGGTGCAAAAACACAGCACTGTTTAAGGCCTGTTATTCGAGAAGACTCTCCTTGTCCATCGTTGCTTAGGACGGTTGCATTCATATTATCATGCAGCAAGCGGAGTATCTGGATGTACTTTTGCGGACACCCAACTTTTACTAATAACTTCCAAAGAGCTTTTTTGTTGAGCGAATCAAATGGTTTCAATAAATCCATGAAGGCCATGTGTAGAGGGCGATTTTGTTCCCTGGATTTCTCTTGCATTTGTTGTGCACTTAAAATCTTGTCAGCTGTACCCACTGGTAGATAGCCACACTGTGTGTCTGGGAGGTTTTCTTCGACAGAGAGCTTCCTTGATAACAGTATTTATAATAATGCTAT